GATCCCAGGACCCTGGGATCATGACCTGAGCTGAAGGCAGATGCTTAACCAACTGAGCCACCGAGGCACCCAAGGTGGAATTGTAGATTACTGATTTGAGATGATAACCTTTGTTAATATGGTGTATTATAGTCATTGCTTTTCTGGGATAAATCATAATTGGTGTATAATACTTTTATTTTTGGATTGTTCATTGCTATTATATAAAAATACAATTGATTTATGTGTTTTGTCCTTGTATCCTGAAACCTTGCTGAACCTCGTTACTCCACTCCAAGGTGGAATTTTAGATTACTGATTTGAGGGCTTTCTTATTTTCTAAATAGACATTTATAGCTATAAATTTGTCTCTGGGCACCAGATTGGATAAATTTGGAAGGTTTTGTGTTCATTTCATTCACCTCAAAATATTTTATCTGTTTTTTCAGTAGTTTTTTTTTCTTTTACCCTTGGATTATTTTCATACAATCTTTTTGCACATGCATGTGCACATACTCTTTTTTTTTTTAGAGAATTGGGGACTGATAGAGTTAAAAAGGGAAAACATTAACCATTTGGTGCTTTTTTCTTTTGATTTTTAAATTGGAAATAATTCTATATTTGACATTTTCTTTAACTTTACCTAGGGAACACTGACTATGCCAAATGGAGATTACATAGAAGGCTATTTTAGTGGAGAATGGGGATCTGGGATAAAAATCACTGGAACCTACTTCAAGCCTAGTCTGTATGAGAGTGATAAAGACAGACCCAAAGTTTTGTGAGTAACTGGTGTTAATTGTGGATTCGTTATTAAGTGTTTTGAGTTGCCTTGCTTTTATCAAAGATGGTTAATATTTTAATTACAGAACAAAATTTTTTTTAATGCAGAACAAATTTTTGAAGTCATTTTTTAACCAAGTGTAACTTCCTTGTATTGCCAGTTGCTGCTATTATACATAAACTGTAGTCTTGGTTTAGATTATAGCCTCATAGCTTTAGAATAAAAGTTCTGTGTGTGGGATTAATTTTGCTGTTAATGGTGCAGATACCCAAATTGATTGAAAGAGAGCATTCTTAAATGGAATCCCTACACAACTTGATTTTGAAAAGTAAAAGCCAAGCCTATATATAGCATATATATACTCTACATATGTGGAAAAGAAAACAAAATCTGTATCTCTAAGTGTATTATGTTCTTCCTCCGTGTTTTTGGCACATATCTATTTTCCTTTATTGATTCCAGCATTAGCTTTGTTTTTGTATTTTGGTAGCTTCTCCGATTCTTCTGATGGATGCTTGATATATTTTTAGAACCCAGTATTATATAATGCATTTTACAATTCTCATTATGAGATGTACAAAGCACAGGAAGTCCTTGTTTTAACAGAAATCAATTTTACAAAATCAATTATGTGGAAATGTAGAAAGCGAAGGAGTCATTTCTGATGTGCTTCATACTTAACCAGTTATACACTTTAGTATCTGATAAACATTAAGTAGCTAAAAATCATTTCTTTAAAATTTTCATTCAGTGTTTATAAAATAGAACCACTGCCAGTCTAGGCAGTTTTGTTACGGAAGCATTCCCAGTTGTATGTTAGAAAGTTTCTTTCTTCAGGAATTTTGCACAAAAGAAGTGATTGATAAAAGTTTGATGTGACTTTATTAGCAGGAAGCTGGGAAACCTGGCAGTGTCAGCTGATGAAAAGTGGAAAGCAGTATTTGATGAGTGTTGGCGTCAGCTGGGCTGTGAGAACCCAGGCCAAGGGGAAGTCTGGAAAGCATGGGACAATATTGCTGTGGCCCTGACGACCAATCGGCGCCAGCACAGAGACAGGTGAGTGAGTGCCTGCCCAGCATAGGGCAGAGTGTTATAGGAAGTTGAAACTTAAGAAGTAGTCAAGGCTTGACATATTTAACTTAAAAATATAATTTAAAAGTCAATGATGTACTTCTGTTTCTGGGTAATATGGATAAAATACACCTCCCTTTATCTTCTGCTGAACTCAGCTATAAAACCCAGGCAGAATACATGGTCAGCTGTTCTGCAAAGAAAATATCAGCCAGAGTATTGAGGAGGAACACCTGAATTCAAAGTACCATCGAACCAGTTAGGAGTTGTTTTTGTTTTTGTTTTAGTTATGAGTTTTTTAACTTCAACATCCCTCAGCCTGAACTCAGTGTAACCTGAAACCTTGACGTAAGCACTATGGTATATAGGCAGAGCTTCAGAAATAACCCTCTGCTTCTGGCTCAAGATGCAAATGAGAGACTCTTAGAGCTCAGATAGAGTGGAGGAGGTACACTGTGTTCTTTTTCCTTCACTTTCTTGGGCTCCAGCCTCCAGGTGCTTCTGTGGCAGGGGTGACAATGGCATTTGCTAGAGCAGCCGGGAACAGGAAAAACTCTTGGGGAGTAGAAAGTTCTTCCTCTGCTGGTGGATCCTCAGGTCCAGTAGTCATGGCCAAATCCCATTGATTTTTTTGGCCTCTATCTCCATCCTTTGAACTCTTGGCCCTAGATGTGGCATGTTCACAGAAGTGGGCAGTTTCTGGCCTGAGGATCTAATAGGGGACCCAGAAAATGCAGGGGAGGTAACAGAGAGAAAAGCTCCAGAAAGCAACCCTGGAAGGTTGTTTATGAATTCCTGGGCTCACCCTAGACCTGCACTTGTGTGGATTTGGTCCTAATTTTAGCATACCAAACACTTTGAGAACTGAGCTGATAGGTAGACTTCCACCCAGGTCCCAGACTGAGCACTGAGTGGTATGCTCACAGACAGACCTAAATCGGACTGCCAAGGCTTTGAGAAGTGAACTGACATTGAAACCACTGCCCACAGAAGGCTGAAACAAAAATATCAGCTGTTTCAGAGGTTTCTATGATCAACTACATGTTCAATGATCTACTAGAGGGACTCACAAGACTCAGAGTCATCCAGGTAAGAGTTACTGCAGTGACACAGTGAGGATCTATAACTGGATCATAAGAGAAAGGCAGAGTCTGGAGGAATCCATGTGCAAGCTTCCCATGCTCTCTCCCTTCTGTGAGGGGTCTCACAGAGCACACTGTCGCCCCCCAGCACTAAAATGCAGCCACACATGTACAATCTTCCTGCCCAGGGAAGCCCATTAGGGACTGAGTGCTTGTGGTTTTTATTGGGGGTTGGTCACATAAACACTCTGTACTTAGCAACTATGAGAATTCCACAGTCCCAGAAGGAAAGCAGATATTCACCATAAATCACATTGTTAGCCTAGTTGCGCACAGCAAAATTACCCTTATTAGTTAGGGAATATTTCATATCAGTATAGGGGACTTTTAGGAAGCAAATCCTTCTAAAGATAATAGTTTCAAGCCTACTATGTTTATTATGCCTATCAAAAATTTTTTAAATTTTATTTAAATTTAATTAACATATAGTGTATCATTAGTTTCAGAGGTAGAGTTCAGAGATTCAACAGTTGCACACAACACCTAGTGCTCATTACATCACATGCCTTCCTTAATGCCCATCACCCAGTTACCCCATCCCCCCTCACCTTCCCTCTAGCAACCCTCAGTTTGTTCCCTATAGTTAAGAGTCTTATGGTTTGTCTCCCTCTCTGATTTCATCTTATTCTATTTTTCCCTCCCTTCCCCTAGCCTGTCAGTATTCTTCATAGGATATAAACAAGACCCAAAGTGTCGTAACAATACTCAAAAATGTCCAGAATATAAACTAAAATTACTTGGTAATCAAAGAACCACCACCTCATTTTGGAAAGACAATCAGTACATACCAGAGACTTCCCAACATAAATTTTGCAATAATGACAAGAACTTTAAAGGAGCTATTACAAAAATGCCCAAAGGAGCAATCACTTGAAATAACTTGAAATAACTATTAAACACACTTGAAATAACTATTACAATTGGAAGTACCAGGGGTGCCTGGGTGGCTCAGTTGTTAAGCATCTGCCTTCAGCTCAGGTCATGATCCCGGGGTCCTGGGATCAAGCCCCACATCGGGCTCCCTGC